TTAAAATTGTGACCCTTTGAGGGGGAGGTACCAGAAGGTACCACCTTCACATCAGACCTTGGGCTAATATATATATTGTGATGTGTGTAATTTGTAGGACTCTTACATCAAAATTTATAAGAGCTATAATTATTCAAAATCTTGACCATTTGTGGGGGGAGGTACTTGATCGAGTAGACCTTTATTGTCCACCTGTCGTAGCACTGGTGGAAATATTAGGATTTGCAAAGTTGGAGCCAAATCGAATTATCCTATCTCTTTTTATGCAGTAAAATAATAGAGACAGACAAACACATCTAGATCGACTCCAAATGTCCTGAAATGGATTTGGTCCAAAGAGACCTATGGTCTAAAACCGTTGTTTCGATGAAGCACGTTTTGGCCGTATCAAATCATATGGCTGAGGATATAAAGAAATCAATTAGTTTAAAGTAATGTCAACTTAACAACTAACTTCTTATAGCTTTTGAATTTGTGTTGTCCCTATTTAATTTTCTAGTGCTTAAGTTGATTTTTTGTTTTGTGAGGATTATTAATGCCGATACTGTTTATTTCGCGAGTGTAGTATTAACCCTCAGCAAATATTTAAGAAATACCATAAATATTGAGACTTTTCAATGGAAATTTCGTCCGGCGCTTAAGAGAGCTCTTTAAGGTAAGTTATTTGTTTCTTTATATCTTGTGCAGCCTCATTGGCTTTTGCGAATGATAAATGGTGTTAATCTGAGTCAGTGACTCGTTTTTCTATCTAAAATAATTACACGGTATTAGTTCAGTTCAGTTTTTGTGATTCTAAGCGTTTATGTGTTCATAGGTTAAGTAACACTGACAATGTCTCCAATAAATGTTTGTTTTTCTACTGTCCGTCTGTCCATGTTAAATTGTAATTACGCTACAGGTCGCAATTATGACCCGATTCTCAAGAAATGGAAAATGGAGGTGGGGTTATGGTCAGAATAGAAGCCTATTGCTTTTGGAGATGATCGCAAAATATTTAGGAATAGAAATGGACCAAAAACTGAAAAATTTACTGATTTCGAAGCTTCTCTACAGGTCGCAATTATAGACCAGACTACGCGGAATTTAGCATGAGGCTAGAGTTTAGTGTTGTAAAGAAGCCTAAAATTTTGTTTTGGTCATCGGACAATATTTTATGGGTAAAATAGACCATAACTTTAAATATGTCAATAAAAAGTGTTTTTTTTTTGTAATATTTGATCGCATGCGATTTTTTCATATTTGACTTACAATTTTGATTGGTACATTTTCTAATATTTTTTACACCCTACAACACTGTGTTGAGGGTCTTATATTCAGGTCGCAATTAACGTCCGATTCTCTCGAAATTTAGCATGGACCGGAATAGAAGCCTAAGAAGTATATTTAAGGGTTCAAATGGACCAAAAAAATTACAATTTTCTACGGGTCACAATTAAAAACCAATCGACACGGAATTTTGAATGAGGAGTGAATTAGGGACAGGGAAGAAGTCAGGCATTTTGGAAATTGTTTTTTGTGTGAAATTGTTTTGAATACCAATCAACAAAAGGTAACATTCGCGCAGGAATGTCTGAATTAAAAAAAAAAAAACTAGTAAAAAAGCAGTAAGTTTGGCCGGGCCGAACTTTTAATACCCTCCACCTTAGGGTAAAGGAATCATTAGAACCCATTATGACCCACAAATACCAATTTTTAGACATATTCATGGGAAAATGTGCCAGAAATCATTCAAATACCGAATATCGGGAAATACCGCTATATGGGGCTATACCAAAACGTGGACCTAAACATACATTGTTTCCGTGAAAAAAGTGTGGCGAAAATCATTGAAATACCGAATATCGGGAGGTACCGTTATATGGGAGTTATACCAAAACGTGGACTTATACATACAATGTTTCGCCACCGGAGCTAGAATCCATTATGATCTACAAATACCAATTTTTAGACAAATCCGCGAAGAAATGTGGCGAAAATCATCAAAATATCGAATATCGGGAGGTACCGTTATATGGGAGTAATACCGAAACGTGGACCTATATACAATGTTTCTCCAAAGGAGCTAGAAAACATTAGGACCCACAAATACCAATTTTTAGACATATCCATGAAAAATGTGGCAAAAATCATCAAAATCCCAATCTCGGGAGGTACCATTATATGGAGGCTATACCAAAGCGTGGACCTATATATGCTATGTTTCGCCACACGAACTAGGACCCTTTATGACTAAAAATACCAATTTTCAGACAAATCATTGAATCGAATCTCGGAGGTACCGTTATATGGGGGCTATACCAAATCGGGGACCTATACATGCAATGTATAGGTCCATAAATACCAACAAATGCCAATTTTGAGATAAATCAGTGAAACAATGTGGCAAAATCCATCAAAAAACCAAATATCGGAAGGTACCGTTATATGAGGGCTATACCAAAACGTGGACCGATATATCTCATTTTCAATACCAACCATCCTAGATACAATACAAATTGTTCTGCTAAATTTTGACGATCTACGTCAAATAATGTGGGCTGTATCGTGATTTCAAAAGACAGTGTTTTTTTTTCATTCGGTGTTTTGTCCTTCATTAAGACCAACTCCTCTCTAGTTGTTAAGCCCCTAGGACTGCCGGTGTTAATGGTTGAGAATCCCCATGAAAGAAATGTCACGACTGAGTGTGTCGGAATCCCACTAGAGTGCCGAAGTAGGTTGCACATAACCCACCTTTAACTAACTTTTTACTCAAACCAATTCTAATCATAATTTTTCTCACATTTTGTATTTCTAAAATCGATATTAAAAAAATATGTTTGTTTTTTTATTTATTTATTTATTTTTTTTTTTTGTAAAAAGTGTAAGTGAAAAAAAAAGTAAATATATTATAATATTAATATATATAATAAGAAATATCTTCAAGTCAACGTCCCCTCCAACCTTTTCTAATGATATGCATCGTCTGACTCGTGTTGAATTATCCTCAGCAACGAGAATCGAAATTTCGATGCTATAAATCCTCCTATGCTAATAAAACGTTATACTAAGTAGCTGCCAACATTAATTAGGCTTATTAAAGTCTATTTTCATATTAAATTGCAGATTTTTTATACCCTCCACCATACTATGGAGGGTATATTAACTTTGTCATTCCGTTTGTAACTCCTCGAAATACTCATGTTAGACCCAACAAAGTATATATATTCTTGATCAGCGTAAAATTCTAAGTCGATTTAGCCATGTCCGTCTGTCTGTCTGTCCGTCTGTCTGTCTGTCTGTCCGTCTGTCTGTTGTAATCACGCTATCTTTCGAACGAATTGAGATAGAAGGCTAAAATTTTGCACACCTGTTTATTTTTCCAGTAGGCAGGTTAAGTTCGTAAATGGGCCATGTAGGTCCACGTTTTCATATAGCCCCCATATAACGGTACCTACCGATATTCGGTATTTTGATGATTTTAGCGACATTATTCACCGGAATTGTTTCAATTTTGGTATTTGAAGTTCGATATGGATACTACAGCCTATGGCAGAAAATTATCTGGGTAGGTCTACGTCTTCGTATAGCCCCCATATAACGGTATCTCCCTATATTCGGTATTTTGATGATTTTAGCGACATAATTCACCGAAATTGTTTCAAATTTGGTGTTTGAGATTCGTAATGAATACTACAGCCTATGACCGAAAATTGTCTGTGCAGGTCCAGGTCTTCGTATAGCTCACATATAACGGTACCTCCCAAAATTCGGTATTTTGATGATTTTAACGCCATTATTCACCGGAATTGTTTCAAATTACGTATTTAGAGTTCGTAATGGGAACTACAGTCTGTGACAGAAAAATGTCTATGCAGGTCCAGGTATTCGTATAGCCCCCATATAACGGTACCTCATAAAATTCGGTATTTTGATGATTTTAGCGCCATTATTCACCGGAAGTGTTTCAAATTACGTATTTAGAGTTCGTAATAGGAACTACAGTCTGTGACAGAAAAATGTCTATGCAGGTCCAGGTCTTCGTATAGGCCCCATATATCAGTACCTCCCTATATTCGGTATTTTGACGAGTTTAGGTACAATACCCACTAAAATTGTTTGAAATATTGTATTTGACGTTAGTAATGGATGCCTGTGACAGAAAATTGTCTATGCTGGTCCAGGTCTTCGCACAGTTCCGATATAATGGTACCTCCCTATATACGATATTTTGATGATTTTAGCCATATTATTCACCGTTTATTTCAAGTTTCGAATTTGAATATGGTAATGGCTAATGGCAAACAATACCTATGTAGGTCCATGTCGTATAGACCCCAATATAACGGCAATATTCGGTATTTTTAAAATTTAACAGAATTTTTTAAGGATTATATTTTTTTTAATTTCCAAATTCGTTCCAAATGGTGGAGGGTATTCAAAGTTCGGCCCGGCCGAACTTACTGCTTTTTAACTTGTTTTTAATTTGAATTTAAATACAAGAAATGCCGATGTACATGCCGACATTGGCATGCCTATTATATATGGATTTTGGACACATTTTACTATTGCTGAAGCTCATTTTGTTTTTGAAAATTTCAAAATTAATATTTGTTAAAGTTTAGAAATGTCAAATAAAACATTTTTAAAAGAAAATAATTTTTTTTTTATTTGAAAATTTTGCGAACAAGTTTGTTGTAAAGAAATGAGGCCACATAAGAAATACCTTAAAGATTCTACATTATACAGACACACGCACAAGTATTTGCATTTATAAACGCTTTGAAATCATCACACTCACACTCGCACACACACCGGTAGTTCAAGGTGTTCCCAAGCGAACATTAAACAAACGCAACCGCAGCCAAGTCCAATGCTACACTAAGTTTGCATTTCAAATAATAATAATAATATTACGAAGAAGCGAATGAATGAACGAACGAACGGAACACAAGAATATAAAACAATAATAATTAATTTAGAAAATAAAAAATATATCGAACAAGTTTTTTTGCTGTTTCCAATTGTTTTTTTCGGCGTTCGAGTATTAAAACATTTATCTAAGAACGTACAGTCGTACTGCTTCACTCCACTTTCAGCCACCCAACAACGAAGATGTCATCGGAATCAGTGATGTTTGAAAACTCCACCCGGACCTACTCACAGGATCTGGAGGAATTGCTAATGAAGCAGAGAGATGCCAGGACAAAAGACTGGTTTCTGGCCGAGTCGTTAACGCCGCTATTTGCCATTTTGGGAGTGTATTTGGCGTTCTGCATCTACGTTGGACCGCGCATAATGCGCAATCGCAAACCATTCGAATTGAAGAATACCCTGATAGTCTATAATGCCCTACAGGTCGTTTTCAGTGCTGTGCTTGTCTATGAGGTAAGTGCCGCGTGCTAATGAATTATTGAGCGGAGCAGGTGCTATGAAAGTTATTATTTGACATTACAGTTCTATGTCTCCGGCTGGGGCCACTACAATTACAAATGTGAAGCTGTAAACTATGGTACCGATCCAAAATCAATGAGGGTAAGAATCCCCATATCAATCCATAATAGTTCTTATTTAATTCGGAAATTTGAATTTCTAGATGGCTAGAGCGGTATATCTGTACTATATTGCCAAACTTACGGAATTACTGGATACGGTCTTCTTTGTTTTGCGCAAAAAAGAACGTCAAATTAGTTTCCTGCATTTGTATCATCATGCCTCGATGCCTTTGGCAACTCTAATTGGGGTTCAATATTTCGCAGGTATGTAAAAGCAAAAAAAAAAACAAAGAGATAATTGTGAAGATCAAAATAGGAAAAATGTTGGGGTACCAAGAATCTAGTTAAACAATTACTCCAAAAAATTTGACTGAGTTTTCTTCAATTTTACGTCGTAACATAGTACATCACCGCTACAAAGAAAACGTAACTGGGTCTCAGATCTTGCTTCAGCGAAAAGTGAAATGGAAATGTTTAAAAAGGGAATGAAATATAATAGCCCGATTATCAGGATTTATTTCTTAATCCGGATTTATTCAACCACATTTATCATAAAAATAGATCTCACAACCGGATTCCATACGAAAAGCATCACTGGATTTTAACACTCCAAAGTCGCAAATGTTTTCCTCAGGAGGTTGTTTACATATCCCTTGTATTTTCAACATCAATTGTATGTCAACATTTTTATGCCCCGTTTCAGAACCTGCTGAATGGACCAATTTTACTACGATAACCGATTTGTATACCCTCAGCCGTATGGCTAGAGAGGGTATATATCATTTGATTCGACCAAAACGAGCCTCATCGAAATAACGGTTTTAGACCCCAGGTCTCTTTGGAGTCGATCTAGCGATGTCCGTCGGTCCGTTCGCCTGTCTGGCTAACTGGTGCGCACGATAACTCCCGAAGGGAGTATCCGATTTGATCCAAACTTGGCAGATCGTAATATTATTATCGAACTTAGATCGAGTTCGGAGATGGACCTGGATGGACCTCCCCCACAAAATGTCAACATTTTCAAAGAAACTAATTTACTGCACAAAAAGAGAAAGGATCATCCAATTTGCTCCAACTATGCAAATCCTAATACTTTCAGGTGCGAAAATAGATAATATCGATCGACTCCATCCAAAGGGTGAAAACTTTGAACAATTACAGCTCCTATAAAATGTGATGTAAGAGTCCGATTGTCTTCAAATTACACACATTAAAATATTTTTATTAACACAAGGTCTAGTGTGAAGACGGAATATATCGGTCCGCTCACCCCACAAAGGGTAAAATTTTTGAATATCCATGAAGCTAATAAAACACGAAAATAACATCCGATTCCATTCAGACTTGGCACATCTCAATATTTACATAAATATAGAGATAGCAGATATCGGAGTATTCCTTCTGGTACCTCCCCCACAAAGGGTCAAAGTTTTGAATAACCAAAACGATCATAAAATCGGAAATAAGCATCCGGTTCTCTTCAAATTACACAGATCACAATATTTTTATTAACCCAAGGCCTGCTGTGAAAATTAAATGTGTCGATCCAACCCTTCTGGTACCCACCAAGGGTAAAATGTTTGAATATCCATGAAGCTCCTAAAACACGAAATTAACATCCGATTCCATTCAGACTTCGTTCATCTCAATATTTCCATTAACACAAGATCTGTTATAAAGATGTTACAAATCGGCCCATTTCGTCTGGTACCTCCCCCACATAGAGTTCAAGATTTTTGAAAAACAAAACGCTATAAGAAATCGAAATAAGCATCCAACTCTCTTCTAATTTCCCACATCCAAAAAAATTTGCTAACACAAGATCTGTTGTGAAGATAATATATCTGCCAATCCCTTATGATGCCTCACCCACAAAAGGCACAATTGTCAATACTTATAGCTGTCATAACTTGCGAAACAACTCGGCGATTCTTTACAACTTGCTACATCTAAATATTTCTATTGGCCGGAAATCTGATATGAATATTTCATTTATCGAAATTTATGATTTCGCATAAAATTGGATATAAATGTTCGATTTCTCTCAAACTTTGCACATACCACTATTTTTATCTGTATTAGATGAAGTATGAAAATGGAATTCATCGGTCCGCTATATCTGTAACCTAACGCATATTTCCATATTTTCCAAAATTTTGAACATATCTCATATAAAGTATGGGCAGTAGTCGATATAGTCAAAATCTGGCACGTTGTAATATTTATATCGTATTTATTTAGGTCCGTTACGAAATGGACAATAATTTGCGCCCATTCCTTCGGTACCTACTCCATAGAAAGTCAACAATTTGAATAATCATAACAGAAGTCAAAATATACTTAAATAATCGAACATTGGATGAGGGTATACATCTGTTGGCAAAACCGACTGATACTTTTAAACTTGTTCATTCAAAATTTTCAATTTCAAAATTCGTTTGACAGTTCATTGTCCCCGCAGCTGTGACGATGCGACTACCGGTATTTTTCTACCATGGTCTAGATCAAGGTCTCTCCAATAAGACCAGTGTATCTCATTTGTATTTACTTGTATGAAACGGGTTTTCAATCACAATGACAGTTTTTTCGTTGTGCTTACAAGACCTTTTTAATGGACCCGTTATGTGAAATTCGTATAAAATTTCAGTCACAATACTAGACCCTTTATATGAAATTCAGCTTGCAAAGTCAAACTGGTGTCATTCTATTTGCCTCTAGCTAACATGTTCACTAAAATATGTTCCCAACAATTTATTTTTGACGTTTAACTTAACAATCAGCGCCTTATAATTGAGGCAACCAGTAAGATCAGCTGATCTCCTCCGATATGTCAAAATTCATTTTTATTTTGAACTCAAAAAACGTAAACCAAAGCGTTGTGTCATGGTAGAACTAAGAAGGTAGAGTTATGCAGTCACATGTTTACATTTTTTTTAAATGATTCATTCGACAACTCCTCATTGTCAACATTTTTGTTTACAAATTCATTGTATACACACAAATCAGAGATGGGAACCAGTTTTCTACGCAGTGAAATTTGACAAGGTAAATTACGGAAAATGCAGAGATGGACATACTTATTTGAAATGATTTTACCTTCTTAATTTTACCATGCATTGTGTGTATCTAGTCAAATAATTAGGGGTTTTTCCTATGAAAAAAGTGGGCATAAACAGCAAATTTTCGAACTTAGGGCGGAGACACATAATCGGTATACCAAGTACATGGTAAAATTAAGAAGGTAAAGTTATTTCATTCTGCCATGAACAAATACCTCCACATTGACTTACATCATTTGTGGCAAAAGAATAATATACAGCCCATAAAATATCTATTAGCTCATCCAATAATACCATCTGATTTCATCCGTACTGTCAAAATGCATGCAATTGTGAATTGTATGATTGGTAAACAAAAATTTTGACAGTTTGAGGAATTTTTAATCACAATAGTACGTTTTAGTTCTTCTTGCGCTATCATTTGATTGAAAACCTCTCATAATGTCAACATTGATTACATTTTCATATCTTTAATCGATTCACAGTGGCATGCAATACGGCAAAGGCCATAATGCGTAAAAATTACCCGTTTTCGAAAGATATGCCTATTAATTAAAGTGTATTCAAAGGAATTTATAATCAAAATAACAAGTTTTATAAAAATAGGTGTGATGTAAATATCTAAATGCACCGAGACTAATACCCATGGTAGAAGAATGCAGGTATAGCTGCTGGGACAATGAACTGTCAAACTAATTTTTGAATTGAAATTTTTGAAAGACAAATTATTCAAATTTGTAAAAATGCTTAAAAAATTCATATTATAACAGCCTTCGATTGTCGTCGTATAGGTAAACCTGTACAAATCAAATTATTTTGAAAAAAAAAAAAAAACATTTTAAAACATTGGCATATCAATGTTACCCAACGTGATGCATCTACCCATGGTACAATAAAAAGGTAAGGTAGAGCTACCAGCTGATTACAATTTTTTCTAAGTGTGCCCGACTTCTTCCAATTTTGTGTATGCATTTATTGTTTTGAAAAATGAAAACAAAATATTTTCAAAACCAATAATTGGAAGAGACGTACATTCCGGATCGCTAATTAAAGCTATTAACCTGTTTAGCCATGCAATTGAAAGATTGAAAAGTTTGGATCATATTTTTTAAAGAAAATCTAGACATTTCATTAATTTTTCCCGGTATTTAACTCATTTTAAAAATGAGGATAAATATGAAAAAAACAAAAAGAATGAAAACAACTTGTTGTATATTATTTTGAATGAGTCTGACAGGAAGCGGGCATAGACTCAGGGCTGTGTTTCTGTAGTTTTACGAAACTGTTCTATCTCTTTATTGTACCATGCATCTACCCGTATTCTTTTGCCATGCTAATACCCTGTACAACAGAATGGTGTAGGGTTCCTTCCGAAATGATAAGTGTTAGATATTTTCAGAACATTTTGCTCGAAAAACTTACCAAATTCATTTGCTTTAACCATGGTAGAATAAAGTAGGTATAGTCATGCAATCATATGTTTCCATTTTTTGTCATAGACCCTAATATAACAGTTACATTTGACATTTTTAAGATTTTTAAGAACATTGTTAAATTCCTTCCAAATGGTGGAGGGTATTCAATTTTTTTTTTGCAACAAAGTTTCTATCTCAAATGCCAATTTAAAATCAAATTTTTGATTTTACTATCGGTAAAGTTTTGAAAACATGGCTCTAAAGAGGTCACGCAGAGAGCCCATCTGACTACCAATTTTTTGTAACAAAACACATTATTGTGATTTGATTGGAAATTGCGCTGTCAAAAACGTTTTATCATTTTGGCATATAAAGTCAGACAATATTCTATTTCTTTTTGTTTTGGACAAGTAAATTGATATAAAAGTTAGTGGCTGCAACAATTTTTTTCCACTGAAATTGACAACACTTTCATTACTTCGTCTCCTTGATGGGAAGCGTAAAAATTTGGCAATGGTACAAACTCAAAAAGAAATCGTATACGTAATATAAACCGGATGTGAAAAGTATTTGTTAGAATTCCGTTCATTCGAAGTTCAAGGATTTTGATTGCCTACAGATTAATTTAATTTAATCAAAATTGGGTTAATTGAAATATGTGAAAACTAGAATTAATATTCAATTCAACGATAATATGTTAATAAAATTCTGGTTTCTAAATCAGATTCAAAACGATAACAAAAACCTGAATTAGCAACAATTTCAATTAAACTGCACGATGAACTCAAAATACAGATATCTGATCATAGAATGTTTTTTTTTACGTAAAAGATAAATGGGTTCGCAACAGTTGCAATTAAGACATTTATGTTTTTGTTTTTCATTTTCTTATTTTGATATATGAGAGTAAAATATTTCTCAACATTTTAAAACATATGATTAGATTCAAAAGAATTTAAAATTGCTTAGCTGATGTTTATACAGGCCAAGTTGTCTTGATCAGAGTTGTACTTTACTACCACATACTGGTTTGTATTTTTTCGTCACTGTCAAACCATTTTTAACATCACAAAGAAATTTAAATGAAACAAGTAAAAAAGCTGTAAGTTCGACCGGGTGGATCTTTGAGTGCCCTCCACCATTTGGAACGAATTTGACAATTTTCGAAAAAATAAAATTCTGTTAAAATCCTAAAAATACCGAATGTAACCGTTCTATTAGGATCTATAGGACGACGACGTTGACCTGCATAGCCAACTTTTGTCATAAGCCATTAGAATATTAAAATGCGAAACTTAAAAAAAATCGGTGAATAATGTAGCTAAAATCATCAAAATACCGAATATCGGGAGGTACCGTTATGTGGGGGCTATACGAAGACGTAAACCTGCACAGAAAATTTTCTCTCTTAGGATGTAGTATCCATTATGAACTTCAAATACAAAATGTTAAAAAATTCCGGTAAATAATGTCGTTAAAATCATTAAAATACCGAATATCGGGGGTTCCGTTATATGAGGGCTATACGAAGACGTGGACCCGCACAGCAATTTTCTGTCTTAGGCTGTAGCATCCATTACGAACTTCAAATGCGAAATTTGAAACAAGTTCGGTAAATAATGTCGCTAAAATCCTCAAAATACCGAATATCTCGGTGGGGGCGGTACCGTTATATGGAGGCTAATCGAAGACGTAGACCGTAGACAGAAAATTTTCTGTCATACGATGTAGTATTCATTACGACTTCAAATTTCAAATTTGAAACAATTCCGGTAAATAATGTGGCTAAAATCATAAAAATGCCGAATGTCGGGAGGTACCGCTATATGGGGGCTATAAGAAAACGTGGACCTACATTTTCAATACCAAAAGTCCTGCACATTTGCGTAAAATTTTATCAATCTACTTCAATTCGTTCGGAAGCTAGAGTGATTTCCACAGATGGACGGACATCGCTAAATCGATCCGCTGATCCAGAATATATGTACTTTGTAAGATCTATCATGAATATTTCGAAGAGTTACAAACGGAATGACAAAGCTAATGGTGGAGGGTATAAAAAAATTAAATACGGCTCAGAAACAAAATAACATAATAAATAAATGAGTAAGGAATGATAATTATACCCTACTCCAAATAGTCGTAAGGGTATTATGTATTTGTGCTATTGTTTGTAACATGGAGAAGGAAGCGAGATAGTTACTTTTGAGGATCTTCATAAAATCATTTTCCGAGTCGATTTATGTATGTCAGTCCGTCCATGTATTCTTGTGAACAAAATGCAGGTCGCATTTATTATCCGATTGAGATGAAAATTTCCAAATAATATTTGTTTGGCCCAAGGACGAACCCTATTGGAATTTGTGATAATCGGAAGAGATTAAGATATGGCTCCCATATATCTTCAACCGATTTCGGGTTAAATGTGCACCAAATGGCTAATATCTGCCCAAAAGTCCTGAATTTTGACACATCCAACCGAATTCAATATAGAAGCAAGTACATCAAATGGTGAAAATCGTTTCAGATATACCACTAGCTCCCATATATACAGGGTGAGATAGAAAAACTGCAACAAAATTAAACGAGATCATTTTTACTTTTTTTTTTAAATTTTATCGAATAACAGCAAAAAATGTCGGAAATTGCATCAACTTTTAAATAAGTTTAAATTTGTTTGAATTGGTCACCTTTGGCGCGAATTATGGCTTTCAAATGGCCAATGAAAGCGTCCGAATGTTGCTCTGCGGTATTTTGGCCCATTCCCGGCGAAGCGCTTGCTTGAGGTGATCGACACTTTGGTATTTTTTAGTGCTGAACTTTCTTTCCAAAATGCTCCAGACACAATAATCCAAGGGATTGGTATCCGGAGATTTTGTTGGCCATTGAGCGCTGGAAATGAAGCGGGGAACCTCATTTTGTAACCATTTTTGGGTGGCTCGTGCTGAGTCCTATTGGAATGTTCAAGGTGTGGGGCCAAAATGTTTGCCTGCCCAAGGCACAATATTTTCTCGATAATATTCAGCTTCTATTCTAATACGGCTGTTATGGCGGCCTACAACATCACCATGGCCGGCGCTTGAGTTGTGGTGGCTAACCGAAGGTGGACATTTTTTGCTGACCTCTTTGGCAAATAAACACGATCACTTTGTTTGTTTACAAACTGCTGGACAACGAATGTTTTCTCATCGGAGAAAACCAAATTCGGCAGTTCGCCACTTTCAGCCAAGCGAAGCAACTCTTTAGCTCTTTTGAGTCTATTTTCTTTCTGTTGCGGTGTAAGTTATTGCACTTTTTGGAGTTTCAATGGCTTTACCCCGAGCTCATTTTTCAATATTTGCCGAATGGAATATTGCCATACGTTCAGCTCACGAGCCATTTTTCGGCCACTGCGACTCGGGTTTCGATCAAATCGCTTCTTTACTTTTCGAACCATTTCTGCTGATGTTGCTGTTTTCTTCCGTCCACTTCCTTGACGTCGGCCTACGCTACCAGTATCACTGTAACGAGCGATGGTACGAGACACAAACGATTTATTCACATTTAAATGCTGGAGTGCTCTAACGATAGCCACTTGTGGTTTTCCAGCCAAATATGAAAAAATCACACTATCGCGCTTGAATTCCATCACGAATAACTTTTTTTTTTTTTGGAAAATTCTCACCAAAATGCAATAACAATATAATTAGCTGTCTCTGAAATAAATTTTAACAACTGTCGAACAAGTGGCTTAGAAATGACAGCAGTCTGAAGTTGATTGTAATTTTTTTCATGTCACCCGGAATGTTTCACTCGATTTAGTGCTTAAGTCCCTCACCTTTGTAATATCCATTCGACAACAATGATATTTGGTACCAGATATCTTATAGTGCAAGGAATTACCTTTGCCAAATTTTATAGAGATCGGCTAAGATTTGGATATAGCTCCCATATATATCATTAATCCGATTTCGGGTTTATTGTGCCATTATTTGGCTAATATCGGTCCAAATGGAGTGAATTTCGGGACACACGTTTCCATTTGATGGAACTCTTCTCCGATACATATTTCTTTAATATAATCCTTCTCGACGAGATATCATGCACTCGATAGCAATGTTATTTGCTATAAAATATTAAAATGTCTCCGTCAAATTTTGTGAAAATCGATTCAGAATTGGATATGCCTCCCATATATTAGTTCCCTCTGAAACCAAACTATAACTGCTCCAAAGCCAAAGGTTGATATGATCTACTACAAATAAATTATTTTGCTATGGGAGTTCTTCTAAATATGCGCGGTGGTGTAGGGTATCATATAGTTGGTCCCGCCGGAATTTTAAATTTTCCTTACTGGTTTTGTTATTTCAAAGGTTAAGGCCACAATATTTGGCCTTTGTTCTTGTTGTTTTGTATGTTATCTGAGGCTAGAAAATCAAAGTATTGATCGATTTCCTTATCTGGGATGACTAGGGGACACTATCTGTGGTTTTTACTTTGAGATCTAATTGTGTCTGTGCTGTTTTTTACATTTTCCGATTTTTCCCATAAAATTTCATTAGAATTATTTTTATTAAATGTTTTTTTCTCTTTCAATTTCAGGTGGTCAAGGTACAATTGTCTGCTTGGTCAACTCCTTCATTCACATCATTATGTATGCCTACTATATGCTGGCAGCTATGGGTCCCAAAGTTCAGAAATATTTGTGGTGGAAGAGGTACCTTACCATTCTGCAAATTGTAAGTTTTTTGTTTTTTTTATTGGAAACCAACTATTTTGTCGATATATTTAATCTCATGCCATTTTTCATTGTCTGTTTGTCTGTCGCAGGTCCAATTTGTCATTGTCTTTATTTCCACCATCCAAATCCAATTCCAACCAAACTGTGCCTATAACAAAATCATTAGTATCGGCTTGACCCTGAATGCTAGTCTCTTCATTTACTTGTTTTCGGCATTCTACGTCGAAAGCTATAAGAAGGAGAACAAAAAGAAGATCACCAATGGTGATGTCACCAAAAAAGCCGCTGTTCTCAAACAAGATTAGATTAAATTCCGCTCTCCATCGACTTAGTTATAATTCCATTTTAGTCATATATTAGGTGTAACATAATGATACAATGTAGAAATAAATATAATTACTGTAGAAAAAAATTGAATCCAATCTGTGTTTATTATCTGCAACCATGGTAGAATCAAGAAGGTAAGGTCATGAAAACATACAATTTTTTTTTTAAATTATTAGTTTTAGAACATCTCGTTGTCAAAATATATATATTTATAAATCCATTGTAAATACCCGAATCAGAGATGGGAACCTAGTTTTTATGCAGTGAAATTTGACAAGGTAAATTACAGAAAATGCAGAGATGGGTATGCTTATTTCAAATAACTTTACCTTCTTAATTATACCCTACAACACTATGTGTTGAGGGTATTCAAAGTTTGATTGGGCCAAAAATTATGTAACACCTCGAAATATTGGTTTCCCACATTAGAGAGTATATATGGATCTTCCTGTCATAAGTCATTATCATATTCAAATTCGAAACTTGAAATAAATGGTGAATAATGTAGCTAAAATCATCATAATACCGCACTTATGGAGGTACCGTCACATCGGAGCTATACTAAGACCTGGACTTGCACAGACAATTTTCTGTTACAGCCTGAAGCATCCATAACGAACTTCAAATATGACATCTCCAACAATTTCGGTGATTATTGTACCTAAAATCGTCATAATACCCAATATAGGGAGGCCTATACGAAGACGTAAACCTGCACAGACAATTTTCTGTCATAGGCTGTAGTATCCATTACGAACTTTAAATACCAAATTTGAAAAAAATTCCGGTGAATAAAATCATCAAAATACCGAATATCGGGAAGTACCGTTATATGGGGGTTATATGAAAACGTGGACCTACATGGCCCATTTACGATCTTAACCTGCCTACTGCAAAATTTTAGCCTTCTATCTTGATTTGTTCGAAAGAAAGCGTGATTACAACAGACAGACGGACAGACAGAATTTTACGCTAATTAAGAATATATATACTTTGTTGGGTCTTACAGGAGTATTTCGAGGAGTTACAAACGGAATGACAAAGTTAATATACACTCCATAGTATATTGGAGGGTATAAAAATGTCGGAAATTGCATCAAATTTTAGAATAAGTTTAGATTTGTTGAAATTGGTCCCTTTGGTACGAATTATGGCCTTCATTTCATTTTAGCCCATTCTCGACGAAGCGCTTGAGGTGATCTACTCTTTGGTATTTTTTAGTGCCAACGGATTGGTATCCGGAGATTTTGGTGGCCATTATGCACTGATAATGCAGCGGGGAACCTCATTTTGTAACCATTCTTAGGTGGCACGTGCTTAGTGCGATGGTGCTGAGTCCTGTTGGAATGTCCAAGGTATGCGGCCAAAATACACCCTCCAGAATATTTTCGCGATAATATTCGACATTTATTCTGACGCCACGGTCGATAAATACGAGCGGAGAGCAATCATCGGATGTTATGGCGGCCCACACCATCACCATGGCCAGCGCTTGAGTTCTGGTGGCCAACCGAAGGTGATCTGCTGACCTCTTTGACAAGTAAACACGATCATTTTGTTTGTTTACAAACTGCTGGACAACGAATGTTTTCACATCGGAGAAAACCAAATTCTGCAGTTCACCACTTTCGGCCGGCCAAGCGAAGCAAATCTTTAGCTCGTTTGAGTTTATTTTCTTTCTGTTGTGGTGTAAGTTCTTACCCTTTTTGGAATTTCAATGGCTTTACCCCGAGCTCATTTTTCAATATTTGCTGAATGGAATATTGCGATATGTTCGGTTCACGAGCCATTTTTCGACCACCGCGAAGCGGGTTACTTTTCGAACCATTTCTGCTGATGTTGCTGTTTTCTTCCGTCCACTTCCTTGACGTCGGGTTACGCTACCAGTATCACGGACACAAAAGAGTTATTGACATTTAAATGCTGGAGTGCTCTAACGATAGCCACTTGTGGTTTTCCCACCAAATATAAAGAAATCACACTATCACGCTTGACTTCCATCACGAATAACTTTTTTTCTGGAAAATTCTCACCAAAATGCTTTTGTACACTTGTTAACAACATAATGACCTGTCACTGGAATAATTTTAACAGCTGTCAGAGGAGTGGCTTAGAAATGGCAGCATTTCTAAGTTGGTTGCAGTTTTTTCATCTTTCCCTGTATATTAGAATTATATAATAATGCAAATCCGAAAGTAGAGTATTAGAATAGTAGGGTCTATATTCGAATTATATAGTAATGCAAATCCGAAAGTAGAGTATATGTATCTGATATTCGGATATGACAACTCGAAACTAGGAAATTTATTTGCGAATTCGAGTTAGTTGGTAGAAAAATTCGAATGCGAAATATTTAACTATCGAATCGAGTTATATGGTAACCCCCAGGATTTGCCGCTTAGAACGTGCGATAAAAACCCATTTTTTGGGTTTTTTGAGGTCTATGGTTTAAGCAAAAAAGCCGACGACGACTCAAGCCTTAAAAGAGGAAATTGGAGGCGGGATTAATAAAATACCGCAGCATTTATGCAAAACGCTCATTGAAAATCTCCTTTTAAGATCGCGTGCGTGCCAGCTAAGCCGCGACGGCCATCCGCACGATATCTTGTTCCATACATAACCTCACTCTGACTACTTTGCGATGCACGATTTATTTATTAAATATCTGTTTTGGGACACTCTTTGCAAGCGAATCGATTGCGCAAGACATTGCTGAGCTGCAACGATCTCCTTTTCAGATGCACTCAACATTGGTTCGGAGCTAGGGGCTTAATTCTGGTTCTATGCAAATAAAATGAAATTTTAATTGTAATTTTAATTGAATTCGTATAATTTAATGCAATCTTTGTTCTCCTTTCTTAATTTCCTGTTGTGAAATGCTTTTAACTCGAATACTTTCAAGGCAATAATTTTCAAAAAAAATTTTTTAATTATCCAAACCAGAATTTTAAGATTTGTCAAGCATAGTAAACCAACACCTGTACTTGAACATCCTCTACAAAAGTCGATCTCGACAATGTGGTTTTGAAAAATTTACATAGCTTATATACGATATACGATGATCTTCATTCCAATGAATTATGGGAAGTATATTGGACGGCTGATTGCCATTCAGGTTTGTTCTTTGACGTAATTAGGACGCATATTAGACGAGTTAAATAAAGTAATTACCGAATCCAATTAAGATCGAATACGTTTCAAATAAAATCTATGTATATGCGTAGTTAAGGCTGTGGAATCGGGTTTTTGGATCGAAAGTACATTTCGAGTTAAATATTTAATTAAATGTTCATTTACGATTCTTGATTAAAAGAAATATCATGTTATAGTGTTTGCAAGGCGTTACTGGTAAAAGTGAAAAGGACGCCTAGGGCCACATTTAAATCCGGCCAAGTTTACTCATTACTTTTTAGCATAAGTATCTACATCAAGAATGCCAGGATCCTCCATTTGCACATATTCAGTATTGGCCTTTAAACTATTTATTTGGCTTGAGAAAAAAAAACACAAAAACGGAATACTCATGGTAGAATAAAGAAGGTAGAGTCATGTAGAGTTTATAATTTTTTTTCATTTGACAACTTCTCATTGTCGATGTATATATATTTATAAATCCATTGTACATACACAAATCAGAGAGGGCAACCTGATTTCTATGCACTAAAAATTGACAAGGTAAATTACAAACAAGTGAAAAAGCAGTAAGTTCGGCCCGGGGCTATACAAAAACTTGGACAGACATGGCCCATTTACGAACTTAACCTGTCTACTGGTAAACTATGCTTTTTATACCCTCAGCCATATGGCTACAGAGGGCATATATCATTTGATACGGTCAAAACGTGCGGTTTTAGACCCTAGGTCTCTTTGGACCAAATCCGTTTCAGAACATTTGGAGTCGATCTAGCGATATCCGTCCGTCCGTCTGTCTGGCTGGCTAGTGCGCACGATAACTCTCGAAGGGAGTTTGGATTGATTTGGTCCAAACTTGGTACATCGTAATATCTTTGTCAAACTTAGATCGAGTTCGGAGATGGACAATATCGGTCCACTCCTTCTGGTACCTCCCCCACAAAAGTCCGAAATTTGAAAAAAAAAAAAATATTTTTTTGCACAGAAAGAGAAAGGATAATCCGATTTTGCTCCAACTTTGCAAATCCTAATATTTGCATCAGTTCTACGTTAGGTGTAAAAATGTCGAACATCCCAATATTTATATTAACCCAAGCTCTGGTGTTAAGATGGAATATATCCGTCCACTCCTTCTGGTGCCTCCCCCACAAATGGTCGAAATTTTCAAAAAAAATATATATTTTTTGCACAGAAAGAGAAACGATGATCCGATTTTTGCAAGTCGTAATATTTGCATTAGTGCTAGGTCTGGTGCGAAAATGGACAACATTGGTTCACTCCTTCAAGTACCTCCCCCACAAATGGTCAAAATTTTGAATAATTACAACTCTCATATAGTGTGATGTAAGAGTCCGATTGTCTTCAAATTTCACACATCCCGATCATTTTATTAGCCCAAGGTCTGGTGTAAAGATGGAGTATACCGGTCCACTTCTTCTGGTACCTCCTCCACAAATGGTCGAAATTTTAAAAAAATTTATTTTCTGCGCAGAAAGGGAAGCAATAATCTAATTTTGAAAAACATAACGCTCAAAGAAAGCGAAATAAGGATCCAACTCTCTTCAAATTTCACACATACAAGCATTTTGCTAACACCAGATCTGTTGTGAAGATGCTATATATCTGCGAACACCTGCTTTTCACTATTTTTATCTGTCATAAATTGCGAAACAACTCAGCGATTCTTTACAATTGATTTATCCATCTGCTATAATAATATTTATATCATATTTATTTAGGTTCGATACGAAATTAACAATATTGACCCATTCTTTCAAAACCCACTCCATAGAGGGTGAAGAGGGCTGAGGGTATACATCTGTCGGCAAAACCGACCGATACTTTTTTACTTGTTATTTTAGCGTTTAATTTTAGCCTTCAATCTCAATTCGTTCAAAAGATAGCATGATTACAACAGACAGATGGACAGTCGGACATCGATAATATATTTACATCGA